TAGAATATACATTTTGGAAATGCTTGGTGAGCCATGCATCTCAAAAAGGAAGAAGATTGAGGAGGCTTTGATGCACAGAAGAAGTTTTATCATAATTGTCAGCTAAAGGCTAGCAGTGGAGCTTTGCACAATGAACATTATGTTGAAAAAAGCAGCTCAACTGCAAATTGAAACCAATGAACTAAGAATCCCAGGCTTCGTCGTAAGGACTTTCTCATAGGTACCAGGTGCATCCAAGGTCCCACCAATAACCTGTTCACTTAGTTATATCTTTTAGGTATTGACTGACTTGAAACATTTTCCGTTTCCATGTTAGACCGCCAACACTCAGAGGAGTGTGCAATGGTGTTAAATCAGATTTAACAAGTTGGTAGTCCATTTCCCATTTCTCACAGCTTTTACTTCTGTCAGTGAGGAGTCCTAAGGAAGTAAAACTAGCTGCAAATTCACTACAAAGTATCTTACAGTCTGACACACTATCAAGATATAACCCAAAGACTGATGTTCCATCATAGAAAGTAGAAAGCTGAGTCTTTCTTTGGAAGAATTAAGCAATGCTAAGATAATTTGTTGCTGAATTGGGACAGAATTCACTTCTGAGTAAGCTTGATTGCATCAGGAGGTTTTATCAGACGGTCATATCTTGTTGTTTGATTTTGTCTGCTTTATTGCTTGGCAAATATTTTTATTTAGGGCCGCTTAGGGGAAAGTTCTTTGTTTTTTATGCCTTGCAGTGATTGTGTTTAAATTTTGAATTACTGGAGCCTTAGGGTTGTACAATGATATTTGAATGAAGTTATAGGCATCGCAACAGTCGGAGCCACATACCTAAATCAATCACCATCAGCATTTTAAAGAGTAAGCCGAAACTGAAGGTGCACATCTCCTCCAAACTATGCACCAGCAGTCAGCAGATGGGCAATACAAATGGTTCAAAAATAATATGAGGGTATAATTGGTCTTTAGTGGAAGGAGAATAAATGGGTGATAATAAATTTCTTCCTCTTTTACACATTCCTGAATTTTGAAGTTAATGGTACAGAAAAAAAAGGTGAGATTTTCAATTCCACTGCAAACCAGTTTAATCCTCATAGTTCCTGCATCCCAGCTTTTAAAAAGAGCCTTTCTCATCTGTCCAGAAACAGAATTATGCCAACAGTAAGGGTTCAATCCCCACACCAGCACACAAAGTCCTGCCTTCTCAAGCAGCACCCCCCTCAACTGAGGCAACTCACCACCAGTTGTCTCTATCTAATGAGAGAGAGCCCTATGGTTGCTAGGATTATAACTACTTATCTACATGTCTACCTGTCTACGTATCTATCTATCTATCGTCTGTCTGCTGTCTACCTGTTGATCTATCTGTTTATTTATCCTGTACCTATTAGCTCTTCATATTCATCTCTCTGAATTTTCTAGCTACCTGGCATATACCTATTTTCAACTGACTTGTCTATCAATGGAAAAAGTGATATTGTTTGTGAGTAGCTTCTCTGCGTTTGATGCTTTCACAAACTGGCTGACAGAAAAAAAAGAAATGATTTGATTTGCCCGGCTCTTGCGTGTTGGTCACTAGGAAACAGGCATCTGTGGTTATAGTCAGGAGCATCTCTGAACCACTAAAGACAGGACAAAAAAAAATTCAGCAGTTCTTTGTAAAATGGGATCTTATTTATGAGGCAATTCAGTATCACAAGTTACTATAAGACCATAATCAAAAAACTACATGCTGTTAGATGCTACAAAAGTGAAAATAACAACAAAAATATTTCCAGTGCAAAGTGATTGTCATTTTCTGCTAAAAATAAACCTCGCCATGATTTTGCCACCTGTAGTGTTCATCCATATTTTCTTTATTAATTGAAGAATTTGATGCATCTCATTTTCTAAATGGCAGTAGCTGTAAATAACCTGGTCATTGATACCATGGAGCATTCATTTATGCATTATAAGCTGGGAAAAGGTGGTCATTGTTTAGACTGATAAGATATTTGACGATAAATATTGCCGTTCGCTTCTGGATTTTAGATACTCAAAGGCAAATGTACAAAGGTTAGGAATTGCTTACTGTCCTACAAATGATCAAGTATAATACAGAACCTTGATTCCAAATGTTTCAGGTCATATGATTTTTTTAATCTTATTTTGCAACTGACCTACAGCTTCAGGGTGCTATGGAAACATTAACAGCAGCAACAAAGGGTATCAGGGATCATCAGTTGGCATTGCAACTGAATATATTTCGTACTTAGATTTACTTCCTGGTTTTAAAACATCACTTTTTAAAAACATTTAAGGCTGTCTATTTACAGAATAAACTTTGGTCATTTCAAAGCATTTTTTTGTGCTCCCACATACTAGAATTAGTTTAGAAAATTTTTAGAACTACGGAAGTCAATTGTGTTTCAGTTATCATGTATTAAAATATGCAATTTGGGTAAAAATTAAAAAAAAACTTGGTTTTAATTGATAATAATGGTCTGTAAATCAAATAAAGTGGGGGAATACTTTCATGCTTCTATAACTTGCTAGTTCATTCTGAGGCATTCAGAAATCTATCATTCTGACAAACATCATGTGTTGTGCCCCATAACATCATGGGGTTGGTTTGATTGTCTAAAGTTGCAGTGGAATTTTCCAGAATTTTTTTCTGAAGATTCCAGTCTTTTGTGCATGTCAAGATTAAACCTGAGAGGATGAAATGTGAGATCCAGCATTAGTGAACATTAAAAAATAGTCACAGAAATCTTTAGAACATCTGTTACTCTCCCCTCACGGCAAGTATATCCTTTCTTAGACAAGGAGACCAAAATCATACATAATAATCCAGACGCAGTTCCAACAAGGCTTTACACAGCTACAGCAAGACATCTTTACTTCTTTCAATTGAAGAAAGCATACAATTTGCCTTCCTAGTTGTTTGATGCACTCGCATCCTGACTATAATGTCCAATTCTCAAACTATTCTCATGACACAAAGCCAGTGCTCAAATGGGTGCTTATTTCCAGTGGCTGAAGAAGCAAGTAAAGCAGATACCATCCAGCTTGAGACAAGGGGGCAACTTTATCTTGTTTGTATCCGCTGACTAGCTGCCTATCCAAACAAGTCAGAAATAAGCTGTCGGTCAGATTGGGGTGGACGTGCGGTGTGTGAATCAGGGTGCATCATTGAAGAGAAATGTCGGAGAGTTCCTGAAGTGGCAGAGACTCAAAGGTCTTTAATCCTTTCATTGGGCCACATGGCAAAGGGTCTCATTCACCTTGGAGGACCTCCTATTCTTTTCTACAAGATTTGATTAAAAAGTCATTTACAGTGAGCATCTCATTTCATGGCTACTAAATGCCATTAGGGTTCGAATGAGCTTGATTCATGTATTTTAATGAGGCTTTTGTGAGAGCTCACTTGACACCCTCTTGCCTAAAGTTAGGTTCTAGGTAAGATGGTAGCATACACAATATTTTAACTACAAGCCCAGACCTGGATAGAGTGGGTTCAAATTGCCCCATTCCTAAATATCTGATAACATTTCGGTGAGGCATGCTGGGTCACTCTATGATGCTACAAGCTGTAAAGGTGCAGGTTCTTGCTTCTGTGCTAAGGTTACTCATTCATTCATCCCCTTTGGAGTATTGCCAGAAACTATGTATAGAATACTTGTACCACTGCAGTTTCTTACAGTTGCATTTTATAATGGTATTTTCATCAATAATAACCACACACAAACCTTGGTTATAGCAATCCATAAATATTTATTTGCAAAAATTATTCTTATACATTTTTCTGCGCAAAAACACTTCATGACACATTTTGTGCTGAACGCAGTTGAGGTGACATATCAATAAGCATTAAGAATAAGAAAACAACATTGAATAATTCAAATGACATAGAGAATGTAGAGAAGTAAAATGAAATTTTGGCTTAAGAAATCTTATCTAAGCATGGAACAGACTTGACTGAGTGAAATATTTTTCTCTCAGTCCATAACTCACTTCAATATACAATGCTGAAATCCATTAAATGGGCACAAGACAATATCAAACATGAATCTGAATTCTCAATTTCTCTCCTCTCTCTGGAGTGCGGTTTCACTGTCCTTTCTTCAATACTTTCTACAAGAGGCCATAGGTGTGAGTTTAGAAATTTGGTGATACCAGGCCTGCTTGGCTATTGGATCAACACAGCATAGTCCTGTCCTCATTCAACATTCTCACCACTACTCAATTCACAATCAAGCCAGGGTACATCAACACATCGCATTCTCCTTAGCCCTGAGATACTGAAGACCAATATAACTATCCTATTGCCAAACTACAAACAATTCACAAATATCTAGTGATATTAGGAACTGCCGATGCTGGAGAATCTGAGATAACAAGGTGTAGAGCTGGATGAACACAGCAGGCCAAGCAGCATCAGAGGAGCAGGAAAGCTGACGTTTCGGGTCTGG